TCCCGTACAGGCCTGAAATTTTTTTCAGGTCTGATTTTCACTATTGCTCAAATAGTGCTTTACTGCGAAGGATCGTTCTCATATACGTCTCATAACCGCAGTTCACACATATGTTTCATATGTTTGTTGTTGTTTGATTTATCATCTACGGGTTTATATCGAATTAATTTGATGGCCTGCTCCCAGTTGGCTTGTTAGCTCAATTGGTAGAGCGCTGCACTAGTATCGCAGAGGTCAGTGGTTCGAGTCCCGTACAGGCCTGAAATTTTTTTCAGGTCTGATTTTCACTATTGCTCAAATAGTGCTTTACTGCGAAGGATCGTTCTCATATACGACTCTCTTAAATGTTTTGTATGTGACAGAAAAAAAACTTTAGCGCGTCAAAAAATTCAGGTCACCTGCCAAGGAAAAAGCGCGTTGAAAGAGATGAAAATTGGGATTGGATACTGAGACCGTTTTGTTAAGATAACATTCCAAAAACGGAGATCTTAGAATTGAGCTAAGGATTGAATGAATCTCGTATGAGGAAAACTTCGAACCGACTTAGTTTTTCTGTATTTCTCTAATAGGAGAAATGAAATACTAATCATCCGTATTGAGTGCTTTGTTTACGAAAAAGGATCGGCCTAAAATCGCATTATCCAGTTGCATATTCAACACTCTGAGTCTCGCATATTTCAATTATAGTTGAAGGAGACTCAAAAGATCTCTTTCTCCTCATTACTGTGCCGCCCAGAAGTCGGCAGAGTGGTCAGAACAAAAATAAACAAAAAGCAAAATAAACATAAAACAAAAGACTAAACAAGTTGGCAGAACATGTCAAAGACAGACTACCATTTAATGACAGCTGCCTTTTATCTGAACTTTTACTGCTTAGGGAGAAAAGCAAAACTCTTTTGGTTCTTGCAATGGAGATGGTGAATATAATTGGTCCAAGCTAAAAGTTGAAAACTTCGGACATAACCACATGCTTAAAAATTGAGCAAAGAAATTAAAAAAAAATACTTACTTCTGCATAGCTGACACTTGATGTAAGGCTATTGTCCAAAGAAATGTCAGAAAAAGGGTGAAAATTGCTTCGTTGGGAGTATAAATCACATAGTTAACCTAGTTAAACCTTGCGACCCCTTGTCAAACAAAAGGAGGTGGGTTGTCACAGCAATAGATTTTATCTAATAATTTATAGCCTTCTTGTAATTTGACTACTTAATGGGCTTGCGGGAAGTGAGAAGTAACCCTCAACGTCAGAGATGGAAGTGCAGAATGTGACCTTAAAATAACTCCTTCGTAATTTCAAAACCTGACTTATAAAAGCCACAATTTTTCATATTGAAACGTTTTGTTTTCATCGAGTAAGGTTTTACATCTTAACTGAGTTCCTTTTACCTGTCGCACGGCGTTTTTTAAAGTATGCAAAAAGAGACAGCAGTAAAATGACAGCAGCCACAGGTCCACCGATGTAGTACCACTCTAGAGGAGCTGGTGCATTTCATGAAATAAAGTAACGGGAGAAGGTCATAAGAGACTAATTTAGTTAATAGAAAGGAGAAAACAATGTCACCAATTCTCATGGTAGAAAAGTTAACCTTCTCTTTGTTTTGTACTAACAATTGACTATATGATATTAATATTATTTACTGCTTGTGTCGGGGGATGGGGAGGGGGGTTTAGGAATGACCGATTGAATATTGAATGAGGCTTATTGGATTTCAAACAAAGTAGCAGACAGACAGGTAAAGATAGATGATAAAAGGAGGAAAAGAACGAGCAGGCATAATATATTGTTTATTCAGAGGATGTACGGAAGGAAGAAGGGACAGGAGGTTGCAGGGTCAGATGGGTGGATAGTAACTTGCACCCAGCAGATTGAAAACAAAAATTACTGGGCTGCAAAAGAGGCATCGCGACTAAAGAGCTTACCAGCTAGTTTTTACCTGCCATTATTTTTACCATCACATCAGTGGATCTACTCCCAGCGTCGCTGGACGCTTCACAGGAATATTGACCGCTGTCATCAATTTCAACATCTGATATGGTAATAACTTTCTTCCCATCTTTAGTATCGAGTTTTGCTCTTTGAATTTTTTCCACTCCGTTTTTTTTCCAGATTGTAGCTTCTGAGTTCTGGAATAGGCAAGTCAATTGAAGTGTTCCTCCTTCTATTATGGGAGCTGGCTGTTTTGGAATAATTTTTGGAAGTTCTGTAAAGAAAACAGGAGAAACTCATAATTGTGGCATGCTCTTAAGAGCTTCTCAATGGGAGATGGCTCTCGCAGCTAACGGTTAAGATCCTGGCTATTTTACGGCTTACGGTTAATTTCTTTCCACTGTCATGAAAATAGAGGTTTTTACGGCTAGGCAGTTTTAAACCTACCGGTTGAGGATCTTTTTCCGTTTTACGTTGAAAACAAATAAGGCCAGCGAAGAAAGCCGGCTCAAACGTTTCACTTTTTAATATTTCATTAGTACCCTCCATTCCAAAAGGACAAAAGAAGTCAGTTATGCTGCACAACCTTTCTTTCATTTCCAGCACAAAAGTAGTTAGAATTAGGAGCTCTCGTGGCCCCTTAATGAAACCTGTGATATTCTTAATGTCAATTGAATGAGTCTCATCACGAGTTAAAAAGATTCACAAGTCAACTGTGTGGATAGATGCAAGAGAACTAAATATCCTAAGGAAATATTTCGAACATTTAATCGCAATTTTGCCGAAAATTTCGCTCAGTAATGGAAGCAGTTCTTCGTGTTTCCATTACCTTGTTCATTGTCAAGACTGTTAATTTTTGCATCACATGCAAAAATGGCTTTTGAGTTTCGTTTTCGTTTTCAATTCCCACTGCTCTATTCTGAACTTCCTTGATCCCTCCATCAGAAAAATATCTTTTTAAAATGTTCCAGCTGAGGTGTTTGTAGTGTATTGATTATACATGTACCTATATTAATTATTGACAACAACCTAGCATGGGCTGTAAGGTGAGCACTTTGTACTTTAATTCAGTAAATGTACTACTCGCAGTAATCCTACTATACTGGAAATACCTGCATGCTGTAAAATTACTATAAGTCAGTAAACTCTTCTACTTCTATATGTGTAATGTGTTTGTTAATACTGTTCAGTTAGCATTTTGCAATGAAAGAGAAACAGTCTCTTTGTGTCTGAATGACGACACTACAGTGTTAATTTATTTATTTATGAACTTTGCCAAAAAACAACAGTCTAAATAAGTAAATAGGAAAAAAAAAAAGAGAAAAACCCCAATCAATGATCGAAAAAAAAAAAAAAGGGGACACCGCAACAGCGTAACCAATTACAGCGGGCCCATGTGCAAAGCATACTATAGGGCATTACGTATTAGTCAAGAGGCGACAGCGCCATTACTACTTGTAGTTTTTCTTTGCATTTTAATCTTTCAGATCTATTCGGTTCACCCAAATAGCGGGCTCTTTTAAGGTCTAGAACCAAATAATTTGCAACAAATTGTATCCATTTGTATGTAATAGGCCCAGTGTTAATATTAGGATTGATATCGCCCATACTGACTCTTGAGCTTCCTGAGGCTTAAGAAAATTCTAACTCCTATAATAATAAAACTTCAATAAGAGTTATACCTATTCCAACTTTTTTTTCGTTGTCTGTGCACATCAGTTCATAATAGAAGCCATGTGCAGTCCGTGAGCAGTATACAACCCGGCTTGAGCTACTATTTCACTCCTTTCTCAGCATTAATTTTTTCTCCGCATTTATCTCCACCATCTTCATCTCCACATTCATCTTCACGATAATCAACCAATTTTTTTTCATTAAACTTACCGTAAACATCCAGTGTTGCTGAGGAACTTGCTGTATTTATTATGTTTTTAGCTGTACAGCTGTAATTCCCTTTCATCTCTTTTGTGACACGTGGCAATTCCAGGGTTGATTCTCCTTCTTGACCGGTCTGACTGCTACCAGCTGGCAGGTCACCATTGTTAAAATCCCAGAAAAAAGTTGGTGTTGGATAACCTGAGGCTAAGCAACTAAAGTTTACAGGGTATCCTTCAAAAGCAGATTGGTCTATCGGATGCGTCTTCATCTGGGGAGAGACTTAAAGTAAAAAGATGACCATGTTAAACAAAGGGTCGCATTGTCCATTTTAAAACTCCGCTCCAACCGACTGATTAATTTTTTTTCCGTTTTACATCGAAAAAATACAAGGCCAGCTAAAAAGACTAGCTTAACTGTTTCACTTTTTAATTTATCATTATTACTCTCTATTCAAAAGGACAAACGAAGTCAGTTATACGGCAAAACCTTTGTTTTATTTTCAGCACAAAAGTAGCTTGATTGAAGAGCTCTCTTGGCCATTTCATCAAACCTGTGATATTCTTAACCTCAATTAAATGAGTCTCATCGCGAGTTAAAATGATACACAAATCAACTTTGTGGATAGATGCCATAGAATATTCAAAGGAAGTATTTCGAACATTTCATCGCAATTTTACCGCAAATCTCGCTCAGGAATGGAAGCAGTTTATCGTGTTTCTATTATCTCCTTCCTTGTCGATATTGTTCATTTTTGTATCACATACAAAGATAGCTTTTGAGTTTTGCTTTCTTTTTCAACTCCCACTGTTCTACTCTGAACTCACTGGATCTCTCTGTCGCAGAAATATCTTACATTGACTCTTGAGCCTAAACTTTTATCGATACGATATCCTTTACTTTTGTTACGGCACGCGTGATAATGATGGTAATAATAATGATGATAATGATAATGAAGGTAATGATAATGAAGATACTTTTAATTAATTTACATTTATTTTAATTAATTTACATTTATAGCTAATATATTTTATTTAATTTATTATTATGTTCTAATATTGTAAACTGCTGGTATAATAAGATGTGTAATTAAGTATTTGAATTTTAAATTTTAAATTTCTTGGATTGTAGAAATGTGTAATTCAGCCCTCGGGCTGCAAATACTTTTGAGATCAAACTATCTATCTATCTATCTATCTACTCAGACTAGAGAAAATTCTAACTTCGATAATAATGAAACTTCAAAATAAGTTATACTTATTCCATCTTTTGTTACCTTTGTCTGTACAAATCAGTTTATAATAGAAGTCATGCGCAGTCCGTGAGCAGTATATATGTACAACCCTTGAACTACTGTTTCCCTCCTTTCTCAGCATTACTTTCATCTCCACATTTATCTCCACCATCTTCATTTCCACTTTCATCTTCATGATGATCAACAACATTTCTTTATTAAACTTACCGTAAACAGGCAGTGTTGCTGAGGAACTTGCTGTATTTATTATATCTTTTGCTGTACATTTGTAAGTCCCTTTCATCTCCTTTGTGACACGTGGCAATTTCAGGGTTGATTCTCCTTCTTGATCAATTAATTTTCTTTACGTTTTACATCGAAAACAAACAAGGCCAGCGAAAAAAGCTAGCTCAAACGTTTCACTTTTTAATTTTTTATTATTACTCTCCATTCAAAAGGACAGAAGAAGTCAGTTATGCTGCACAACCTTTCTTCCATTTCCAGCACAAAAGTAGCAAGATTGAGGAGCTCTCGTGGCCCTTGAACTGAACCTGTGATCTCCTTAGCCTCAAATGAATGAGTCTCATCACGAGATAAAAGATCCACAAATCAACTTTGTGGATAGATGCAAAAGAAGTAAATATCTAAAGGAACTACTTCGAACATTTAATCGCAATTTTACCGCAAATCTCGTTCAGTAATGGAAGCAGTTCTTCTGTTTCCATTACCTTGTTTATTGAGAAGATTGTTAATTTTTGTATCACATGCAAAAATAGCTTTTCAGTTCACACAGCTTACCTTTGACAGTTATTTCTACGAAGTGGCGGTCCACAAACCCAAGCTCGTTACGTCCTTCACAATAATATTTTCCACTGTCTTCTTCCAAAACCTTAGTGATGTTAAGTTCACTCTTTTTCTTATTCAATTGTGTATAAATCTTTGCTCTTTCTGATAGTGAGTCTCCATCTTTCTTCCAAGTCACATTTACCGTGTCTTCGTTGACCTGGCAGGTCAATGTGAGGATATCTCCTATTGCGAGTGTTGGAAATGAATCTGGAACAACTTGAGCAGAGGCTTTTCCTACGTTGTAAATAAGGAATAATTGATTTAAAAAAAAATCCCAACCACATTTACAACTTTCCAAAGTAAAATAAATTGAATTAATAAAAAGAAAAAAAGGTAAATTTAACCTCACAAAAAAAAAACCTTTGGAAAATGCTGCTTTGCATAAAAAGGTTTGAAAAAGGCCTCAGGAGAAAACTTGAGGCCCCATGTTTATAAATAACTGATTGCTGTCGAAAGCGTCCAAAATTACAACTAAGAATATTGAAAATTTCCTATGGTTCCAATACTTACAAATTTTAAATTAACCTCTTGGTAGTTGCATCAAAAGGACTTCACAAATCAGTTATCTTGCCCGACCTATTCATCTCCAGGCTGAAGGCTGAGATTCTCAGTTGTGCGTCGCATGAAAAAACTGATGGATTTTCGTATTTCCTTTTCAGCTGCCTATCATCAAGTATTTAAAAACTACGCGCGGAAGGCTTCGTCTCGGGGATTATTCAACAACACATCGCGCAGAATGCTCAGTTTTCTCGAAATATTTAAATGCAGTAGCCAAAAAATCTGTAATACTAGCGGCCAAGCGTGCCCTAATTGGTGTTCATTGGTCGTGATTTTGTGCTTCTTCATTCACAGGGAATATATTACTCGCCTATTCACTTTCATGGTGCATATCTACCCGCGTTCAGGCGTCAACCAACAATTATAGTTTTTAAAAGCTGGCGATTCAGTATGCTTATGCACACCAAAAGTCGGTTGCGCCTGAATATCTGCCAGAAGCAATTGCCTACCAAAGTCTTGTTGAAAATATAAAATCAGCAAATAGGTCACGTCATTCCAAACCTAAATTTACAGACCCAATGTTTCCTAGCTAAGGATCTCATTATCAAAAGAATTTACCCGCTCGATTTCTCAAAAACTAACCCACGTCTCTATAATCATCGGAGCAGTTACACTAATTCGTATCAGTCAACTCATGATGGCACCGTCACTTCTATTTTTTTCTTTGTCTGTTCTCGACTCCCAAATCACTACAGCTTTGTCTTCATGTCCGTCCTGTTCTCCATTGTCATCTTCTTTCCTTTCGCCATCATTATCGTCAAAGTCACTGTCATCATTATCATTATAATTAAACTTACCATAAACACGCAGTGTTGCAGTGGAACTAGTAGTATTTGCTTTGTTTCTTGCTTCACACTTGTAAGTGCCATTCATCGCTTTTGTGACAATTGGTATTACCAACAATGATTCTCCATCGTGCTCAGTCTGACTGATGTCACAATGGCGGTAACCATCATTATTCAAAACCCAGACTAGGGTTGGTGTTGGCACACCTGAGGCTCGGCAACTGAAGTTGACCGGAGACCCTTCGGCTACGGACTGGGTCATCGGAGGCTTAGTGATCTGGGGAGAAACTTGAAGTAAAAAGACCAACAAATTCAGCAGAGGTTCACATTGACCATGTTAACTCTTTCCGCCTAACCCTAAATAAAATTGCAAAAAGAAACAAACTAGCAAACAAACAAACAAACAAACAAATCACAGAGTAAGCCTGTCTTTTTTCTAAGTTTTACTTCCCGTAACATGAGTACACGTATGGAATTGCTAAAAGACACCACAAGAACTGTTTGTCATAATGTAATAGTGGGAAATGTTTTTACGAAATTATTTATAGTATTAGTCGTAATTTAGCTTCGGAGAGTACTTGTGGGTGTCCGTAGATCAGAACGAACTGTATATGATCAGTAACCCTTCAACAGAGAAACGAACTAATGCTGGCAAATTGAAATTT